GCCGGCCCATTCGTGCCGAAAGTATGGCTCTCCCTCACTTATTATTTATAAATACACATTTATAAATACTACTAAAAAATACATTTAACTCGTCAAGTACCGTCATTATAGACACAATTATAGAACAATAGGTTGCGGTCAACAACGGAACTGTCAAAAACCAAGCGGTCACCGGTGACCGCAACCTATTGTTCTATAATTGTGTCTATAATGACGGTACTCGACGAGTTAAAAATATGAGCCGACCAGTACTTAGTGGGAGCATGGAGCATGGTCCAAGCTACCGGTGGTTAAGGCTCCAGAGACAGAAACCTCACGATGCGCGCCGTTTCAAGGAGAACTGCCTTTTGTATCAAGCCTAACGCCAGCCTCCTAAGGTGATTGCCGAGGCTATCAGGGATTAAGCCATGTATAATTATTATTAATCCCCAAATCATTAATTTTGCGGGTAGACAGATAAAGAAAGACTGCCTCGTTGGCCGAGTGGTCGCAATTGCGACTGCCGAGCAAGGGGTCTCGATTCCCGGGTCGGGCAAAGTATAACTGGGTTTTTAAAAAAAATCTCAGTAGTAGCACGGAGTCTGGAACTGTGCCCGGTATATGGCAATAGGCTCACTCCCTATTACATGGGACTCATAACATAAATAGTGAAAAGTGGGTGTTACATTGTACAGTCGTAATGTTCACCTCTGCCTACCCCTTCGAGGATAAATGATGTTATGATGTAATGTTGCAGATAAAGAAAGAAACGGAAAAAACTTTATTGCAGATGCTAATAACAAGTGACATGTATCGATTATAGTTAGTTACGACTTTGTCCGCGTAGAATATCAATTTTGGGATATAACTTTTTATGTGTTTCAATTTTTTCCAAAATAAAAGTACCTATATAATAAGCCTATGTGACTCATACCTATAATAAGCCTATGTGACTCATTAGTACATCAGCTACCTGCCAACAAAAGCCTCAAAATTGGTCTAGCGATTCTAGAGATTAACCAGTACAGACCAGATGTTTTTGTGGAACTACCCGCAACTTACCTCACATTTGTTATAATAGTTGCAGATTTTTATAACAGCTTGCGTTTTGTAACTTATATATTTTAAATATTATGTGGGTCCATTCTAAGTCTTTCACATATCACTTACCTACTTATATCTATATTCAAGTTAATATCAGTGTAAAATTAAAATTTAATAACAATATGTTCTAATGTTTATAGAGGTAAAGGCGGTATAGCCTGTGTAACGAAATAAATTATGGTAAGTCTACAAATAGAATAAGATCGTTTGTAAACAGTGATTGTAATCATATTTAATATTAATAAAGAACTTGAAAAATCAAATCAATAAGTACAGAACAGATACAGACCAGACAGTCATACAAAAATGAAACAAAAAATATTTTGTAATGTGTATCGTATGTAGAGGTATATTTATATGCATTTAGTAAAAAGCAGTTATTTTAATACTACAAACAGGCACTACAATGTGTATCTGTTTACGTAAGTCTAGCTTGTTATCAAGAACATTTGTAAATTGGAAAACCCCAATATTCATTTACCCTACAAAAGAATAATTGCAGTATCCATTATTAGGTTAAGTGTGGGAGAGCCATGCTTCGGCACAAATGGGTTTTTTTTTGTTAAAGGGTGAAAATCATCGAATGACTGCTCCCGCCTGGGTGAGGCGGGAGGGAGTGTCAGACTCTTACTGACTAGAAACCACCCCGTTCCTTCTCCTGCACGTCGAGCCGGAGCCCCGGAAACCCGTTAGGTTCTCCGCGAAATGGGTAGGGTCGACCGGAGTGATACCACGGCCGAGCAGAAAACAGACATGGAACAACGCTTGCATTGCGTTTCGTCGTGAGAGTGAGGTTACAGGAGGCCAAATTACCCCACCCCTCTTCTCCAATCTCCTCAATCCCTGAAACCCCAATAATACTAAAATTCCTAACAACCTTCCTAACGTAGGTACTTGTAACGCCTCTGGTGTTCCCGGTGTCCTTGGACGATGTCGATTGCTTACCATCAGGTAATCCGCTACTCATTTACCGAAAAAATTGTTACCCACTGTTTCTATAATATTTTGTTAAGCCATCATCAAATATGAATTTAAATAAAATGATATTGAAAAAAGGAAACAATCAGAATGAATACATTTAATTAAATACATTCTATGAATATTATTATAAGTTCTGTAACTATGTATGTATGTGTGTATATAAGGAAAACGTCTGCAACCAGTTTTTTTATATTTATTTTGTACTTTGCGTCTCGCGGTCAAGCTGTGAAGTAATATTATTGTTATACTTAGCTTACGTCATATGAAAATACGTCATAGATTAGAAGGTGTGACAGAATACATACAGTGAACAGGTAAACAGTGACATTGAAACACTAATGGCCGTTTTCGAAATTCATCCCTAAACTGACACTTTACTAAAAGTCACTTAGCGTGACGTAGCACTTAGACTAACCCTTTATTTGTACTATTAGGTAGTTGTACAGTTTAGATGTTTCTTTAAGAGAGTTTGGTGAAAATGGGCATACATATCTACTCATCCCGCGGGTGTCCTTGAGTCTACATATGGAACAAAGACCGGGCAGCGGCGTTCTCTCGGTTTAATGAGTAGACGACCGACTGGACGGTTGGTGCGGTGGCTGGGCAACTGGTTGCCATGGAATGTCTCCGTGTAAAGGACTCAACATATTTGTTACCTACATTTTTGGCAAATAAATTATTTCTAATTTCTGATTTCTGATTCAATCCGCGCACGAAGCGACTCTTTTTGTGATCCCTAATTAATTATTGTGTTTTTCGGCTCATTCACGTAATTATTTGACGAGGAACTCGACTAGCTTCAAGCCATGCTAGAGGCTTATATGTATGTATAAGGAGGATTCCGCGACCCGCGATGTGGCGACTATACCAGTCGAACAATAATTAATATAGTATGATTACAAATTATTGTTCCTGGTCTGGGTGTCATGTGCGTGTGAAATTGTATGTACTTTAAAATATCACATTTTAAAGTATTGTGACCTGTAACATGTCCCGTGAAGTTAAAGGTTACGTGCACATTGATAATACTAACTTTTCGATATTTTTCTTAAAAAAGTATTCAATGATGCTGGCTCTGATTAAACCGTGAATCAATCCCGAGATCCAAGCCTCGCACTCACACGCGATCGACAGACAGTTTAATTTTTGTTTATATTGATGATTTGCCGGATGAAGATGAGCATTTAGTTTGGAATATGAATGGCATTACATCATTCACCAATTCGATATTTATAAACAATGGTCATTGTATACTTATAACCCTCATATAAATATTCCGTTTATGACGATAACTCTCAGAGTTGGACGTGGAAAAAGGACTATAAGAAGAGTACTTAACGCATTTGCCTCTGGTGTTGCGAGTGTCCATCAGCAGGGCATCACTTACTTATTACCTGGTTATTAGTTCGCTCAAAGTATATCTTATATGCTGACCCAAACACGAACCTGACATCTAGCATCTCCTTATGTCTGTACAACTTGTGGGTTGTTTAAGGGGAGGGGATCATCGAATGATTTCTTCCACCCCGGTGAGGTGAGAGGGAGCGTCGGACTTTTACTGACTAAAAACCACCCCGTCCTATTTCTGCATTTCGAGCCAGAGCCCTGGCAACTCATTAAGTCCTTCGCGGCTCCGTATATAGGTCCTACTGGGCTCCATCTGTAGTGGTTTGATGGCTCTTTGAGTACGCTCGAGTCTGATCCTGGTCGACCGATGAGTTACCCATGCTCGCCTTCCGCAGGCCCGTGCCATCTCGCAATCCTCAACACCCGGAGTGTCCTTCCCGACGGCTGAGTTGTGAGGAGGTTGGAGATCTCTGCCTCACGCGCTTCCTTCTCAGCGAGCATGACTGTTTCGCAAAAGGAGGAGACGGTATCCCAGCCCTCCTTGCTCATATAATCATGGTCCGAACTAGGGCCGGACGCGACACACCTTGTGGGTAGATGTCCTGCAATGCTTGCTTGACCTCCTTTGAAGAACCTTTTCAATCCAAAGTACTTAATCGTTATTCTTACGTCACAATGACAAACATAGGTCAGGGTAAGACACAACATAATGAGATGGACTAAGTGACTAACCTGTTTTATGAAACCTTACCTTATTCTGACCTGTTCATATTTTTAGTTATTTATTTCAAGGTTGGAGTTTCAAAATGTTCAACCCGAATCATGTTACGGTCAAGATTAATAACCGATCTCAGTTAGAAATCTCTGGATCCATCTCTGGACAGAAACTACATAAAACCAAATGTGAATGCCAAAAATTGGTTGTAATATAAAAAATTCGGCTTGAGATGAGATAACTTATAAATTTCATCGGTTAATTAATGTTGCGTTGATTTTTGAATATAGGTCTCATCCAGTGACTTCTATTAACTTTCCATTTTCCATTTTAAGCCTTACAATGAGTTCAGGATGCACAAAAGTACAGGCCGAATCTTTAAAACACCTACCATTATTTTTTTATTGAATACTAGCGACACGCCCCGGCTTCGCACGGGTGCAATATGCATGATATAAACCTTCCTTAAGAATCACTCTATCTATTAAAAAAAACCGCATCAAAATCCGTTGCGTAGTTTTAAAGATCTAAGCATACATACGGACATACAGCGAAAGCGACTTTGTTTTATACTATGTATTGATTGATAGTAGTAAATAAGCAGACATCTGTAACACCTTTGGTGAATCTTTTGACGTCCGAAAGTGCATTCCTGGTCTAATTGAAATAAATGATTTTGACTTTGACTTTGATTACAATTCTTATCACCTATTTTTACAATTTTGACCACCTCCGAAACAGCAATCAGAAACTTGACTTCTATACTTCTCGGTCATGCATTCAGCCTTGCAAAACCAGCCACTTTTGTCATGACGTAAGCTCAGTATGTTAATTTATATTATTATACCAATCTTCGCATAAAGTGTCAGTCGCTAGATCGTCTCTGCGATGTCAACACGTTCAGTCTAACCGCAAAAAATAATTTTAAAACATTAAATTAAGTCATAATCTAGTATTTAGAACGAAAATATAACCTTAAATTATTTATTTTTTACAAAAAATTGTGTTTTTTTATAAACTAGTGCTGTGATATTTTGTAAAATAGTGAGGTAAGTTGTTGTTTTTCGTTTTCGTGTTTGTTCGTACGTGTTGATGGGACTTCGATTAACTTAGGATTATTATTATTGTCGTTATAAAGTTCGTGGTCTAATCAAGAATCCAGTTTTTGTGTGTTTTTTGCTACAAATGAACGAAATTGGTTAGTTTTTTTTCGTACAATGTAGGTAGACTGTGAGAATCGGATTGAATTCTAGTTTTTTATGCATTTAGGGATCTGATTGCTTACAAAACATGTTTTCAATTATTGTATTAAGTATTTATTTTTAATTGTAGTGTGAATAGTAAAAAATATCCGTTTATAATGATTTCTTTTATGATTTTTGTTCTATGAAGGTAGATTGATACATCTATTAATTTTCTTTGTTAATCAATTATGCAGATTTTATGGTATATTTACGATTTTAATGGTTAATCGCGTCTCGTGCTTGCTTAATCTTAGGTATAATATTATAGATGCGAAAGTCTGTGTTTTTTTTTAATAAGTAAAGTATTTGATGGGCCGACTTTTGACCATATTATCTCGCCTGGCGGTAAGCGATAATGTGGTCCACGATGAATATGTTTATTAGTCAATAGCGTCAAAACAGCTGTAAGCATCAGCATGAAATTTTAAACAGGGGTAGATTATAGTATAGAATAACACTAAGGCTACTTTTTAACCCACCACGGCGCTACTGATAGCCAGCACACAGCTGCAACTACCAACTGCGCGCTATCTAACTTAGTTGCACGCTAGGGACGGTGTAGGGATGCGCTTTTTTAGAGGAGAAAATCCAATGACTTCTCCCGCCCTGGGTGAGAGGGAGTGTCAGATCCTACTGTCTAAACTCCACACCATTCCTACTCCTGCGAGCTGGAGCTCTCTTAACTCACTAGATCGTCCGCAGCTCTGGGTGTCGGGGATGGCTCAGAGAGGAATTTCCGAAGTTCTTACGGGTGGGAAATGACATGATTCTGTATGCACGTAAGAAGTTGCGGGTAAAAGTTAATTAGGTATTGGTACCTACAAAAGACAGGGGGTATTATTGATTTACCGTCCTTGTTCTTTCTTTTAAATAAATAAGCACTTAAGTACCTACATTTTATAAAATGCAAAAATGGGTGGTCAACGATTTTCCTTAATAAATCCGATATTAACTCGTCGAGTACCGTCATTATAGACACAATTATAGAACAATAGGTTGCGGTCACCGGTGACTGCTTGGTGTTTGACAGTTTAATAAATGCGACAGTTTCTTTGTATATGTGTTTCTCAATCACGTCAAAATGGCTGAAGGGATCGGTATGAAATTTGGAAGAGGGTACATTATAGTCTGAAATATGGGTAAAATATGGCGCCGACTTCTAACCTATCAGTGGGTGGGTAACCTATCAGTACTAATAATATCTAGTTATTTTTAGCCTTTTAGTTTTTACTTTTTGTTTGTTTTTAGTTTTGGGGTTTTTGAAGTTGGATTTTTAAACGCAGTTTTAATTAAATGCGAATTTGGGAGAGCCATGCTTCGGCACTGCTGGGCCGGCTCGATCGGAGTGATACCACGGCCTAGCAGAGAACTAAAGAGAAACAACGTTACAACAACGTGCGTTGTGTTTCGTCGTGTGAGTGAGATTACCGGAGGCCCAATTACCCCTCCCCCTCCTTCCCCAATCTCTCCAATCCCAGAAACCGCAACCATTCTCAAATTCCTAATCCCCAAAGGCCGATAACGCACCGGCACTTGTAACGCCTCTGGTGTTTCACAGTCCATGGGCGATGCCAATTGCTTACCATCAGGTTATCCGTCCGCTCGTTTACCGGCTTAACTAAAGCATAATTAAAAAACCGACTTCAAAAAACCAAAATGTAATCTAATAACAAACAAAAAGTCAAAACTAAAAAGCAAAAAATATCTATTATTAGTACTGATACCCACCCACTGATAGGTAAGAAGTCGGTGCCATTCGGTAAAAAAGAACTTCTTTTAGTAGATACGAACAATTCTTTTGTTTTAATTTTGAGTAAAGTTGTAAGGTTATCTACCATCACGATTATGACTTACAGGCACAATACACGTGGGTTGAAACGTGACTGAAAAAGGCTTTTTGTCCAATCCCTACACGTGAATGAGTAACAAACATACGAACACACAAATTAGCATTTATAATATTAGTAAAATAGTCAGATATGAGGGTAATCGTACACATGTCGATTTTTCGAAAAAATAACGGTCTTGATTTTATAGTGAGTGAGTGAGTCAATGTCTTTCTACCGTATAACTTAGAAACAATAGATGTTTGAACAATACGATTAGATCCTTACTTCCTTACTAATATTATAAATTGGGAAGTGAGTTTGTTTGTTTGTTTGTTCCGCTTTCACGCCATAACTACTAAACCGATTGCTTTGAATTTTTGCAGACGTAAAGTAAGAAGTCTGGATTAAATAATAGGGTACTTTTTATCCAGGAAAAGAATATCAAGGGAAAACAAAAGTATTAGTATAGATGGCGCTGTGTGTATTGGTATATGTCACATATTCTACTTTTTATCCTTATGTGACGCGAGCGAAGCCGCGGGTAAAAGCTAGTTCTATATAATTTGTAGCCCGCGACTTGGCCCGCGTAGAATATGAATTATAGAACGTAACTTGTTTTGTATTAATTTTCCAAAATAAAAGTAGCCTATGTTACTCCTTAGTACATCAGCTACCTGTCAATAAAAGTCTTGCAAAATCGGTCCAGGCATTCCAGAGATTAGTCAGTACAAACAGACAGACTGAAAAATAGTAATAAATAGTAATATTTGTTTGTATATTCATATGCATATGCATGTATCAAAAATCAGTTATTTTAATTTTACAAACATACACTCCAATTTTATTTATCTGTAGGTATAGATTCGAATTTTTCGATTTCTGATTTCCGATTGAAAAAGAATAACCTATAGAGTTTCTTGCTCGTTCTTCTACATAGGAATCTACACTTTGGAACGAGCAAATAGCTTCACTTTAAATTTTTTGTTAACATTCATAAGTGCCTCTCTGGTCTAATTGAAAATTAAATGATTTTGACTTTGACTTTAGAGAGGGTGTGCTTTGTAGATATACACTGCACCTCTGCCTACCCCACCAAAGATTAAAAGATTGAGTCTACAAATGTCAAAATTTAGACTCATTATTTAATAAATTGTAGACTGCCTCGTTGACTGAGTTGTCGCAAGTGAAACTGCCGGGCAAAGTATTAGGTCCTGGGTTTTTTTAAAAACCTCAATAGTTAGTAGTACGGAGTCTTGAATTGTGCCCGGTATATGGCAATAGGCTCACCCCCTATTACATGGGACTCATAACATAAATAGTGAAATGTGGGTGTTACATTGTACAGTATTGTGCCGTAATGTTCACCTCTACCGCTTCGGGGATAAAAGGCGTGATGCTTTTTTATGGCATAAACCGGTAAACGAGCAGACGGATCACCTGATGGTAAGCAATCGGCGTCGCCCATGGACACCTGGAACACCAGAGGCTTTACAAGTGTGATACCGGCATTTTGGGGATTAGGAGTTTGAGGATCGTTGGGGATTCAGGGATTGGGGAGATTTGGGAAGGGGAGGGTAATTGGGCCTTCGGTAACCTTACTCACACGACGAAACACAACGCAAGCGTTGCTTCACGTCGGTTTTCTGTGAGGCCGTGGTATCACTCCGGTCGAACCGGTCCATTCGCGCCGAAGCATGGTTCTCCGACACTTAAAATGTAATGTAGGTAATATAAATTTTTGAAATATTACGAATCCTACAGTCGGCCTTATGAATCGAGGTAGTGACCTTTGCACACCTCGCAACATGACTATGACGTCAGCATTACCTTTTCGCCGCCCAGCTATACTAAACACGATGTGTCGCCGTACGCCAACGTATAAATGTATAATAAATGTATAGTACGAAAGTAGGGATGGCGGTAACATCATGTCGATAATGAAAAAAAATATGTGTAAATTTAAATTGGTACTCAAATTTACAATTAAAAATACAAACTGTTAAGTTATAATGGTAATTTGTTTTATTTTATGAACATTTATACTAAGAAAAATGGGTATCCGTTATCAGAGATGAAGATACATGCATAGAGTTGCTAGAGATAATAATAATAATTCGTAACATTAGCCACTTCACTATTCATTTCATAACGTAGTCTGTTTACTTCATATCAAGTCATTGGCGTTCAAAGCACGATACATTTCGTAAGGAATAGTTGTCTATGCTTTTCTTTCTTTCTATCGAGTTTGGTTTGCTTTTGGTTTTAGTTTACATTTAAAATCTAACGTCAGGTCACGATCAGGAACATTGTTTGTAGTGATTAAAAGTGGCAACATATGTGTAGTTTTGGAAATGGATGGTAAGTAACTATTTTAATACAGATGTACTAAACTTTAATAGCTTATTTTTCATTTAATGCAAATGAAAAACTGGCACGTTTGATGGATATTAGGTAGTCATAAAATACCTATTCGTTGCGGCTCTCGGTTTCGCAAACTTTTAGCTGTGTCGGCGAACAAATATAGAATATACTCATCCGAATCATATTCGGTCATTTTGCACTGCACTGGGAAAGAAAAATGTGCGTGCACGCGTCGCCCGGAACTATGACACAATGACCTTGACGCCTAAGCGCTTACGACGTCACAGGTTTACTTCTATTGAAGTTGACGGCGCTAGTGTCACTCGACATCTTGCCATTACGTAGAGATGGGTCTAGCAATATCGAAAACCCTCAGTACATAATAATTAATTTTAATGAAATGATTTGATAGGTAGATGTACATTAATTTTGAAACGCATTGTAATACGTTATTTACTGACCGGAATTTCTTTTTATTCATAGAATTCAAAAAACTATTGGATGGAAAAGAAAACAAATATTATAGTAAATAAAGATTCTAATGAATGCTCCTTACGCGTCACATCACTGGCCTACTTGATATGAAGTCGTTGGCGTGCGGGATATAAAATTATTTGAAACCTTTTATGTTTTACCTTTTTAAAACAGAAAATAGTCTGTTTTGCATGAGAAAAAATAGTTCGTCGTGTCCATATTACAAAATTACAAAGAAACAAATGTTTTATGTATCGTAAATGTATTTTTTATAGTAGGTAGATACAATGAACTTCTATAGAAGTAGTGGCGTGGACGGCACGAAAATCCTGAACTTCTATAGAAGTTGTTGGCGGCGAAAAGGTTAATGGGTTCAACTGTAAAAAACAATATCGCATCATTGTATTGTATAATTATAGTGGTCTGGTGATCATCTACCATCATGGTTCGACGTATAGGAGCCAGGCACGTGGGTTGAAACGTGAAGCAGAAAATCGATCAGTTAAAAAAAGAATGTATTGGAATTGTGCCCGGTATATGGCAATAGGCTCACCCCCTATTACATGGGACTCATAACATAAATAGTGAAAAGTGGGTGTTACATTGTACAGTGGTATTAAGTGCCGTTTTAGTGTGGGAGAGCCATGCTTCGGCACGAATGGGCCGGCTCGACTGGAGTGATACCACGGCCTCACAGAAAACCGACGTGAAGCAACGCTTGCGTTGTGTTTCGTCGTGTGAGTGAGGTTACCGGAGGTTCAATTACCCACTCCCCAGTCTCCCGAATCCCCGAATCCCACACAATCCTCAAATTCCTAATTCCCAAAATGCCGGTAACGCACTTGTAACTACTCTAGTGTTCCGTGTGTCCATGGGCGTTGATTGCTTACCATCAGGTGATCCGTATGCTCGTTTACCGGTTTATGCCATTTTGAGCAACGAATTTTGATGCGGCTTTTTTAATAGATACGAGTGATACTTAAGGAAGGTTTATATATATAATACATGCATGTTGCACCCGAGCGAAGCCAGGGCGGGTCACTAATATAAGAATAAGATGTTCTATAAGCGCATAAACATTTCTTAAGCAAAACATTCCACCTCTATGCTTTATTTTTCGTTTAAGATACAAAATAGCGAATAACATTTAGTTTCCAATAAACTAACATAACAGAAGCCAATAGGATCCAGTTTTTGAATGACAAGAACATTATTGTAATTAATTATTTGTATAGGACCGGTTCAGATGTAATTTGTACGACCTTAGATCGTCATAATAGTTTATGTCAACACTAGCTTTTACCCGCGGCTTCGCTCGCGTCACAAAAGGATAAAAAGTTGCCTATATGATATATACCAATACACACAGCGCCATCTATACCAATAGTTTTGTTTTCCCTCGGGAATATCAAATTTTTCCGGGATAAAGAGTATCCTATTATTTAATCCAGACTTCTAACTTTACGTCTGCAAAAATTCAAAGCAATCGGTTTAGTAGTTACGGCGTGAAAGCGGAACGAACAAACAAACAAACTCACTTTCCAATTCATAATATTAGTGAGGATAAATAAGCATTAAAATAAATCTTTACTAGCAACTGACTAAAAAGTCGTGTTGGCCCGGAGGTTTAGAAGCCCGCTTCTCATGCATGAGGGCAAGTTCGAAACCTACCAACGGTAAGTACCAATGCGACGTTTCTCGAGTGATATGTTCTTTTTAAGATTGACATAACATAACATAACATCACGCCTTTTATCCCCGAAGGAGTAGGCAGAGGTGCATATTATGCCACTGTACAATGTAGCACCCACTTTTCACTACCGTGTAATAGGGGTACCGTGTAATAGGGGGTGAGACTATTGCCATATACCGGGCACAATTCCAGACTCCGTGCTACTACTGAGATTTACCCTACCCGGGAATCGAACCTGAGACCCCTTGCCCGGCAGTCGCACTTGCGACCACTCGGCCAACGAGGCAGTCCTAAGATAAGATAAGATTGCTTATGGCATAAGCCGGTTAACGAGCAGACGGATCACCTGATGGTAAGCAATCGGCGTCGCCCATGGACACCTGGAACACCAGGGGTGGTACAAGTGCGTTACCGGCCTTTTGGGGAATTAGGAGTTTGAGGATTGTTAATTTTTTTAATGTCCGTCTGATAGATTATTTAAAAACATTAGACACGAATTTTTTATTTTCTTACGGAAACGAATAGTTTCGAAGACATAATTGATTTGAAATATCGTATGACGTCACTTTTAAGTACGATTTATACTCTAAACTGACGTAGCTACCTCCCACTCCTAAACTTTGGTTCGTGTTATCTAAGTATTGTTTTAATATACGAGAAAATAAAAAAAAGGTGTCTAATATTTTTTCATTACCTAACTAACGGACTAATTCCATTTTTAATTTTCATACCTCGTCATCATCCATCACGAGTGAGGTTACCGCAGGCCCAATTTCCCCCCTCCCTAGTCTTCCGATTCCCCGTATCCTCCACACAGACCCGAGCGTACGGCGCGTCGTGTTCCGCGCGCGCCTCAAAGAGCCATCAGACCACCACAGATGGGGCCAATACGGCCGATGCCGATTCGGAGTCGCGGAGAACCTAACGGGTAACCGGGGCTTAAAACAAAAAAATCCTCCACAATCCTCAAATTCCCAATTCCCAAAAGGCCGGTAACGCACTTGCAACGCCTCGGTGTTTCGGATGTCCATGGGCAGCGCCGATTGCTTACCATCAGGTGATCCGTCTAATCGTTTACCGGCTTATGCTATAAAAAAAATCCATGCCGAACTTTCGTATCTGCATAGAGACCAAATAATTGAGCTGACTGCATATTTTATTCGGGGATTAAAAATCATGACATTATGATGATATAATAGGTAAATATGTTAATATTCTAGGTATGGACATAAGAACGGATTATTGAATATCGCACTACAATAAAATACTTTCAATTCTCCATGTCCGTGTCTAGGGGAACTCCAAACTAAAGGTGTTATTAAAAAACTCGTTTGTCTAGATATCAACAACACAATATTCATACGAGTCGGACTGTTGACGGTCTAATGCAGAGGTTCTCAAAGTTCAAACGTTTCGTGGTCAAGGACCTTTTTTAACCGACTTCAAAAACAAAAGGGACTTATGTCGGAATACTCAAACGCTACTCAATTTTAAGTCGTGCTTAAGTATAGTTCTGTCTCCAAAAATTCTTTGTAAAATGACAGAGATGGCACGATATTTAAGCACGACTTAAAATTGAGTAACGTTTCAGTATTCCGGCATCAGTTTGACTTATTTATTTATTTAAATAGGAATACCAACAGCTTCTGTATACATAGTATTAAGTGATAATGAAAGTAACAGTAAGTTAACCAACATTTAATTACTTAAGTGATAATAAAAACTTATGGGTATGTACCTCTATATATGTGTGATTATGTCACGGTTGGCTGATCCGATTTCGATGCTGTTGAAAAGTGTCTCTTACACTTTTTTTAAGGGGGGGACAATGAATCCAATGACTTCTCCCGCCCGGGTGAGGCGGGACGGGGTGTCAGACTCTTACTGACTAAAAACCACCCCGTTCCTACTCCTGCACTTCGAGTCGGAGCCCCGGTTACCCGTTAATTGTTTAATAACAAGATGAACTTGACTTATATGTATGTATATGTACCTCTATATATACATATGTATGAGAACGATTGTCTCGCGATTGGCTGAACCGATTTCATGAGTTACGTGTATTAATATGTGTATGTGTACTATTTCGCGGCAGACTTGGGACATGAACGTGTATCCTGCTAATATATATGCGTGTATGCTTATTCATCTACCCTATTACTAATTTTACCTTTTCTTTCTTTCCAGACACGATGCGTTATCTCCTATTAGCAGTATGCCTAGGCCTGGCCTGTGCCCAGACCACGATCGACCCATCAGTCCTCGAGGGTATCTTTGGGACCCCACCGACCCCAAAACCAGTCAATCCCGTTACACCGGGTTTAGAAGATGTAAGTTTTAAAAGTACTTATATTTCTGAACTGATATGACATTTTAACCTTGATTTAAAATTAAAGAAGCATCGACATGTTTGCGGGCCCCCGGAAAATTTGGGTCCCTATATAAAATAGAATATTTAGAATAAGAATAATTTATTTGTATATATATGTATACTTTACTTACAATTTGGTTGTTTTTATTACAATAGTATAGTTAAATTATGATAGACTATTAACTAGATAATAATATATCATTGTGCTTAAAACTATGGACAGAAAAATAAGAGGACTAGTACTAATATTTGTCGCGATTTGCTTGACTTAGGTTTATGCAAGTTGTGTTTCAAATCAGACAGAGAAAAGTCTTCGAAAGTGCTTTGTAATATCTCAAGTTTTGTACTTAGCAGAAGGTAGGATTTAGTATTAACTAGCGACCCGCCCCGGCTTCGCACGGGTGCAATATGTATATACATACAAACCTTCCTTAGGAATCACTCTATCTATTAAAAAAAACCGCATCAAAATCCGTTGCGTAGTTTTAAAGATTTAAGCATACATACGGACATACAGCGAAAGCGACTTTGTTTTATACTATGTATTGATGTAGTAATTCCAAGTTCTCAGTGATACATCAGTATCCTTGCTTTATAATGTCAAAATATTTTCAAAGTAAGGCCGGTCTTATTTTGGGGCCCATGGCCCATACTATTTCGTCAAATAAATAACATACTAAGGTATATGAATATCTAGGTAATCATCTATATAACATAACATAACGCCTTTTATCGCCGAAGGAGTAGGCAGAGGTACGGCATTACGATACTTTATTTATTTATTATTTATTTATTTAATAGTTAAAGGTACCTACATGATATGCTTTACAATCTAACGCCATGTCCAACAAATTACAAAACTATGTGTAAATAGTTTGACTGTTGGATCTTCATTTGTTTCAAATTACTATTTTATATATATAATAATGGTTAAAATAAATATTTAAATACATATTATTATGTAATGCTATGTCTAATATATATACATATATGCTAATGCTAATAGAATGTATGTATAAATATATATCATAGTTATGCCACTGTACAATGTAACACTCACTTTTCAGTCCCATGTAATAGGGGGTGAGCCTATTGCGATATTGCGATATACCGGGCCCCATTCCAGATTTTTATAAAAAAAACCCAGTAGTACTTTGCTCGACTCACTTGCGACCAATCGGCCAACGAGGCAGTAATTATCTATATACCTGCACAAATTATTATTTGCCAAGAAATAGGCGTAAATGTTATGTTATGTAACCAGCACCGTAGAGGCACAACTCGAGGGAGAGTGCCTCTGCCAACTACACCAGTGGACACGTCACTTCTGATTGAAGTATTTGGCACACCACCTTCCACTTCAGCAAGAGAAGGATACGAATCCGTGAGTTCGGTGAAAACTGGATAAATCTAGATTTGCATGGAAAATATTGCGTAGTTCATACATGCTATATTAGTCCACATATCAAAGACCAAAAGGGTGTAAATCGCGTGAGAAATTGGGGTACCCAAACTCAGGGCCGCATTGTGGGTTTGTGGGCCCCTGGAGAAACCTGTTTGGGGGTGCATCAATAATTTTAAGTGTCATTTTTATTGCGAATTCGGTGTCATCATCATTATTCATAACGGATCATATATTTTTATTCATTTTGTTTTTGTTCATGTTATCGATACAAAATACGGTAGTTGACAGGTAGTCAAATTCAATACTTTTATTGAAATGTCAATAACGATACTTTTCTATGAATTTTGTATTGGATCGCTACTTATGACGTCATCATATTTCTGCGTCAAATATTTTATTTTATTTTATTTTATTTATTTAGAAAACCAACAGCGATACATATGATATAATACAAAATAAAGATATTATAGTTTAGTAAGGCTAATAATAGGTTTCCCTGCTTAACTTAATTTGTATTTACCATGCGAACGGACTTTAAACAATATTTAAAAATAAAGTTTTAATATAGAATTGAAAGTTAAATATACTACTTGTTATGAAAGGGAGATAATAATATTAACCCAATTAAAATATGAATTAACATAGTAAATGCTCCATGGTAAATGCTTTATGGTGAATGGAACAAAGTTGCCCGCTACTTGCCTTTATCAATTATAATATTTTTAACTTGGGCTTTAAAGCTAGGTTTTGTGCAGTTAAACACATCAACCTGAGAGAAGTCTTTGTTGTAGGCTCGCGCAATGCGAGCAAGTACACAATTACTAGCATAGTTAGTGGCATGCCTAGGTACATGCAACATTGGCGTATGGCGAGTGCGTCGTAGAGGAGCATTAAATTTGATTTGTGATAACAAATCCGGACAATCCAGCCTACCATTCAGTATGTCGTAAAGTACACACATGTCCAACACTTCACGTCGTTCATCGAGTGTTAACAACCCATACGTTCGACAGCTATTTTCGTAAGACATTGGAGGTTTGCGGAGGCGGTAGTTAAGGTGATTAATAAATTTTTTTTGAACTCGTTCTATTTGATTTTTATACATATTATATTGAGGGGACCATATTGGGCATGCGTATTCAAGAACGCTACGAACATAAGCAAAATATACAGATTTAAGCGCTTCAATGTTTTTAAATGCCTTGCAGGATCTTAAAACGAATCCTAAATTTTTGTAAGCTTTGCTAGTAATAAGATCTATGTGATTTGAAAATGCCAATTTGCTATCGAACATAACTCCTAAGTCTCGAACTATCTCAACTTTATTAATAGTAATTCCATTAAATTGGTACGAGTACGTTATAGGGTTCCTCTTACGTGTGTAACTGATGCATTGACATTTCTTGACGTTTACTGTAATCTTGTTTCTTGTATAGTAATCATGTAAATTGTCAAGGTCTTGTTGGAGAGCTGTACAGTCATCAAATGAAGTTATTTTATAATATATTTTTTTGTCGTCAGCGTACATTAAGTGTTCGGAGTGTTTGAAAGAGTCAGTAATATCAAATAAATATGCATTATAGAAGAGAGGTCCTAAATGGGATCCTTGTGGAACACCACTAGGTATTTCTATGAAGTTAGAACGGTAACCACCCAATACTACAGCCTGTGACCTTTTAAATAAATATGATTTTACCCAACGAAGAAGATCGCCGCGAATACCCAGTCTATATAATTTGCTGAGCAGGATGCTGTGATCCACACGATCGAAAGCTTTTTCAAAATCTGTGTAGATCACATCAACCTGCCCTCCCTTATCTGTATTGCCAAGGACAAAGTTAGAAAAGCAAGCTAGATTGGATATACTCGAACGCTTTTTTAAGAAACCGTGCTGCCTATAAGATATACCTCTAAGAATGCAAGGATATATAGCATTATACACAAGCTTTTCAAATACTTTACCCAAAGTATTAAGTATAGAAATACCTCTGTAATTTTCTATTTTTACTCGCGAACCCTTTTTATGTATAGGAATTATAAGTGCTTTCTTCCATTCATTTGGGAACGTACCTTCTCTCAAAGAGATATTAAAGATGAAACTAATCGGATGTGCTAGAGACTTTGCGCAACTTTTCCAAAACAGTGGTGGTATACCGTCACAACCTGGACCCTTATCTGTACCTAACGAACTCAGCGACCTCTCCACAGTTGATGGAGTAAATCGAAGGTCAGTTATGATATCACCACAACCATCCTCAACCTCTGTGACCCTCAAA